TGAATTTTGAAATGGAATCACTCACCTGTTTTAATGACTCAGCTGTTTTTACATTGGAATTATTAAATATTTTAAAATACAAAAAAAAACGGACAATTAATTTTTTATTCAATTAATTTTTTCGATTTTTCTTTTAAAAGTCAAAAATCAATTTTAATTTCTAATAATTTAAAACAAATGTGGTTGCAGACAAAGCATTTAATGCGCCACTTACCTTCACATTGAAATCGGTCATCTCATTTACTGAGTCAGCTGATTTAAATTTTTTAATAATTTAAAACAAATGAGGTGTCAGACAAAACATTTAATGCGCCACTTACCTTCACATTTGAATTTTGAATTTTGAAATGGAATCACTCACCTGTTCTAATGACTCAGCTGTTTTTACATTGGAATTATTAAATATTTTAAATATTATAAATTAATTTTTTATTCAATTACTTTTAATTTTTTTTTTTGCAAACTTTGGTAAAAATGAAGAAGCGAAGTTGATATCAAAATCAAAACATGATAATAGGCCACAGAATAAGGAAAATGTCAATAGCTCCTCGTTACAAAAAATCGACCAATCTATCGCTTTTATTGGCATTTATTAATTTGTTTAAAAATTTAAAAGTCCAACACACTAATTCGAAATTCAGGGGAGCATTAAAAATAACTTCAAACGAAACGTTTAATGCGCCACTTACCTTCACATTGGATTGGTCATCTCATCTAATGAGTCAGCTGATTTAAAATTTTGAATTTTGAAATGGAATCACTCACCTGTTTTAATGACTCAGCTGTTTTTACATTGGAATTATTAAATATTTTAAAATACAAAAAAAAACGGACAATTAATTTTTTATTCAATTAATTTTTTCGATTTTTCTTTTAAAAGTCAAAAATCAATTTTAATTTCTAATAATTTAAAACAAATGTGGTTGCAGACAAAGCATTTAATGCGCCACTTACCTTCACATTGAAATCGGTCATCTCATTTACTGAGTCAGCTGATTTAAATTTTTTAATAATTTAAAACAAATGAGGTGTCAGACAAAACATTTAATGCGCCACTTACCTTCACATTTGAATTTTGAATTTTGAAATGGAATCACTCACCTGTTCTAATGACTCAGCTGTTTTTACATTGGAATTATTAAATATTTTAAATATTATAAATTAATTTTTTATTCAATTACTTTTAATTTTTTTTTTTGCAAACTTTGGTAAAAATGAAGAAGCGAAGTTGATATCAAAATATTAAAAAACAAATTTTAAGGCCTTGGTACACTGTCAAAGTTCAAAACATGATAATAGGCCACAGAATAAGGAAAATGTCAATAGCTCCTCGTTACAAAAAATCGACCAATCTATCGCTTTTATTGGCATTTATTAATTTGTTTAAAAATTTAAAAGTCCAACACACTAATTCGAAATTCAGGGGAGCATTAAAAATAACTTCAAACGAAACGTTTAATGCGCCACTTACCTTCACATTGGAATTGGTCATCTCATCTAATGAGTCAGCTGATTTAAAATTTTGAATTTTGAAATGGAATCACTCACCTGTTTTAATGATTCAGCTATTTTTACATTGAAATTATTAATTGTTTTAAATATTTTAAAATACGAAAAAAACGAAAAATTAATTTTTTATTCAATTAAGTTGTGGTGTACAATTTTGAATTTTGAAATGGAATTACTCACCTGTTTTAATGACTCAGCTGTTTTTACATTGGAATTATTAAATATTTTAGATATTTTAAAATACGAAAAAAACGGAAAATTAATTTTGTACTCAATTAATTTTTTCGATTTTTCTTTTAAAAATCGAAATTCAATTTTAATTTCTAATAATTTAAAACAAATATGGTGGCAGACAAAACATTTAATGCGCCACTTACCTTCACATTGGAATTGGTCATCTCATTTAATGAGTGAGCTGATTTAAAATTTTGAATTTATAAATATAATCACTCACCTATTAATAATGACTCAGCTATTTTTACATTGGAATTATTAAATATTAAATATTTTAAAATACAAAAAAAAACGGAAAATTAATTTTTTATTCAATTAATTTTTTCGATTTTTCTTTTAAAAATCAAAAATAAATTTTAATTTCTAATAATTTAAAACAAATATGGTGGCAGACAAATCATTTAATGTGCCGCATACCTTCACATTGGAATTTGTCATCTCATTTAATGAGTCAGCTGATTTAAAATTTCTAATAATTTAAAACAAATGAGGTGGCAGACAAAGCATTTAATGCGCCACTTACCTTCACATTGGAATTGGTCTATCTAATGAGTTAGCTGATTTAAAATTTTGAATTTTGAAATATAATACCTCACCTATTTTAATGACTCAGCTATTTTTACATTGGAATTATTAAATATTTAAAATATTTTAAAATACGAAAAAAAACGGAAAATTAATTTTTTATTCAATTAATTTTTTCGATTTTTGTTTTAAAAATCGAAAATCAATTTTAGTTTCTAATAATTTAAAACAAATGTGGTGGCAGACAAATCATTTAATGCGTCGCATACCTTCACGTTGGAATTGGTCATCTCATTTAATGAGTCAGCTGATTTAAAATTTCTAATAATTTAAAACAAATGAGGTGGAAGACAAAACATTTAATGCGCCACTTACCTTCACATTGGAATTGGTCATCTCATCTAATGAGTCAGCTGATTTAAAATTTTGAATTTTGAAATGGAATCACTCACCTGTTTTAATGACTCAGCTGTTTTTACATTGGAATTATTAAATATTTTAAAATACAAAAAAAAACGGACAATTAATTTTTTATTCAATTAATTTTTTCATTTTTCTTTTAAAAATCAAAAATCAATTTTAATTTCTAATAATTTAAAACAAATGTGGTTGCAGACAAAGCATTTAATGCGCCACTTACCTTCACATTGAAATCGGTCATCTCATTTACTGAGTCAGCTGATTTAAATTTTTTAATAATTTAAAACAAATGAGGTGGCAGACAAAACATTTAATGCGCCACTTACCTTCACATTTGAATTTTGAATTTTGAAATGGAATCACTCACCTGTTCTAATGACTCAGCTGTTTTTACATTGGAATTATTAAATATTTTAAATATTATAAATTAATTTTTTATTCAATTACTTTTAAGTTTTTTTTTTGCAAACTTTGGTAAAAATGAAGAAGCGAAGTTGATATCAAAATATTAAAAAACAAATTTTAAGGCCTTGGTACACTGTCAAAGTTCAAAACATGATAATAGGCCACAGAATAAGGAAAATGTCAATAGCTCCTCGTTACAAAAAATCGACCAATCTATCGCTTTTATTGGCATTTATTAATTTGTTTAAAAATTTAAAAGTCCAACACACTAATTCGAAATTCAGGGGAGCATTAAAAATAACTTCAAACGAAACGTCAAGCAATTACTAATAATGAAATTAATTGTTAACAATTGGTATAATGGGGAATTTCAAATGACATCCCTAAAACTGAAACACGTCGTACTAAAGCTGATAACAAAATATTAAAAGAAATTTTTTTTGCAAACTTTGTTAAAAATGAAGAAGCGAAGTTGATATCAAAATATTTAAAAACAAATATTAAGGTCTTGGTACACTGTCAAAGTTCAACACATGATAATAGGCAATAGAATAAGGAAAATGTCAATAGCTCCTCGTTACAAAAAATCGACCACAACATAGTTACAGATTTTCTTTCTGCTCCAAAGTGTCACCGGCTGCAGCATCAAAACTGTGCCAAAATAAACAAAAGGCACACAGAGTGAGAGGGATGAAATTATAAATCACGTAAACTTTATAATATCTATAGTCAGAACTTAACTATTTCTCCAACTTTATTTTTTTTAGAGGACGGACAACTGAACAATTATTTTTATCTTCAACAACATCACCATACTTCAAGAACGGTGACAACAAAGTGAGAGAAATATCAGCATCATCAGTACTATCACAGGTTTGGCTCTGAACATCCTGTCAACAAAATGACTCTGACCGCTATTAATATAAGGATACGGCAATCAAATTTTCCAATTATGTCAATAATACCAACTCACCACAGCTTTTCCTGACCCTATCGACATAATATTATCATCAGAAGGACTGTCAAATACAGAATCATCCTGAAATATTTTTTCCATAAACGCAAAAAGTTATAACTTTGAAAAGTATAGGTTATGAATAATAATAAAAAAAAAAAAATTTGGGTCCACCGTGGTCTTCAGAAATGATGTGATAATACTTTCACTGATGCAAACTTTGGCCACATGATATTTTGGCTCATTGTATGAGTTCAAATTGCTAATTTTGACATTCACTTTAAACAACTTAGATCTATCTTTAAGAACGTTCAACTCTTCCGGATAATGTTCTAAATCTGCACCCTACAAAAAAGGAAACACAGCAAAAGAAGTACTAAGGGTGTTAAAAGTTTTGAGAACCTCACTAATAAAAAAATTCAAAGTTTTGATAACCAAACCCGCTTAAAATGTTGCTCGCGCAATTCAGCAGCACTCACTCCTAATAAAGAAAGACAGTCTCTATCAAATAGTACGAAAGAAGCAGAATCCGTGTTAACAACAACTCTGACTTGAACACTGAACCTAAAAAAATAAAAAATTGAATTTTACATCAGTCACACAGTGTGCATGAATAATTTTTCGATAACAATGACAAATCAAAAAATGGCTTACTTCGGAGTATATTCATTCCAATGTTTTTGACAGTTCTTACAATACCATTTCTCAAAATCTTCGCACACTGAATATGGACATTTCTTACAGGACTTGTACCACCAGTTGCATTTACTTTCGATGGATTTTACAGTTCCATAAGTAATGCAAGTAGTAGCATCTATGCAATTCTTAATATCAGTAAGAAATTTCCTCTTTGTATCCTTGAGAAAATCATTTTCATAAGAATATGAAGATGGGCTGGATAACTGAGTCACCATCTGACTACTTTGCATCAAATCACCGGAAAGCCTGGAATATAAAAATACATAAAAGAATGAGTGAACAGAGCAAAAGAAATGCCTCATAATTTCTCACGGTAGCCCACCTTTTTTTGAACTCTACGATGTCAGGTATATTGGAATCAAAAAGAATTTTCGTCGTATACTTTGTATTAGCTATTCCAATCTTGTTCACTATATGGAAAAAAGAAAGTTTTCAAGACATCCTCTAGTGTGAACAGAAAGCTGAGATTTAAGGAGAATGCGACACCTCAGCTAATTTTCAATAGTTTTTTTTACATTAAAACGGAAAGAATCCACTAGTGTGAACAGAAATTCAAACATACATATTTTGTTCACTATATCGAAAATAAGTAAGTTTTCAAGACATCCTCTAGCGTGAACAGAAAGCTGAGATTTAAGGAGAATGCGACACCTCAGCTAATTTTCAAAAGTTTTTTTTACATTAAAACGGAAAGAATCCTCTAGTGTGAACAGAAATTCAAACATACATATTTTGTTCACTACATGGAAAAGAAGTAAGTTTTCAAGACATCCTCTACTGTGAACAGAAAGCTGAGATTTAAGGAGAATGCGACACCTCAGCTAATTTTCAAAAGTTTTTTTACATTAAAATGGAAAGAAACCTCTAGTGTGAACAGAAATTCAAACATACATATTTTGTTCACTATATCGAAAAGAAGTAAGTATTCAAGACATCATCTAGTGTGAACAGAAAACTGAGATTTAAGGAGAATGCGACACCTCAGCTAATTTTCAAAAGTTTTTTTTACATTAAAAAGGAAGGAATCCTCTAGAGTGAACAGAAATTCAAACATACATATTTTGTTCACTATATCGAAAATAAGTAAGTTTTCAAGACATCCTCTAGCGTGAACAGAAAGCTGAGATTTAAGGAGAATGCGACACCTCAGCTAATTTTCAAAAGTTTTTTTTACATTAAAACGGAAAGAATCCTCTAGTGTGAAAAGAAATTCAAACATACATATTTTGTTCACTACATGGAAAAGAAGTAAGTTTTCAAGACATCCTCTAGTGTGAACAGAAAGCTGAGATTTAAGGAGAATGCGACACCTCAGCTAATTTTCAAAAGTTTTTTTTACATTAAAATGGAAAGAATCCTCTAGTGTGAACAGAAATTCAAACATACATATTTTGTTCACTACATGGAAAAGAAGTAAGTTTTCAAGACATCCTCTACTGTGAACAGAAAGCTGAGATTTAAGGAGAATGCGACACCTCAGCTAATTTTCAAAAGTTTTTTTTACATTAAAAAGGAAGGAATCCCCTAGAGTGAACAGAAATTCAAACATACATATTTTGTTCACTATATCGAAAATAAGTAAGTTTTCAAGACATCCTCTAGCGTGAACAGAAAGCTGAGATTTAAGGAGAATGCGACACCTCAGCTAATTTTCAAAAGTTTTTTTTACATTAAAACGGAAAGAATCCTCTAGTGTAAACAAAAATTCAAACATACATATTCTGTTCACTATATCGAAAATAAGTAAGTTTTCAAAACATCCTCTAGCGTGAACAGAAAGCTGATATTTAAGGAGAATGCGATACCTAAGCTAATTTTCAAAAGTTTTTTTTACATTAAAACGGAAAAATCTTCTAGTGTGAACATAAATTAAACATACATAATTTGTTCACTATATTAAAAATAAGTAAGTTTTCAAGACATCCTCTAGCGTGAACAGAAAGCTGAGATTTAAGGAGAATGCGACACCTCAGCTAATTTTCAAAAGTGTTTTTTACATTAAAACGGAAAGAATCCTCTAGTGTGAAAAGAAATTCAAACATACATATTTTGTTCACTACATGGAAAAGAAGTAAGTTTTCAAGACATCCTCTAGTGTGAACAGAAAGCTGAGATTTAAGGAGAATGCGACACCTCAGCTAATTTTCAAAAGTTTTTTTTACATTAAAATGGAAAGAATCCTGTAGTGTGAACAGAAATTCAAACATACATATTTTGTTCACTACATGGAAAAGAAGTAAGTTTTCAAGACATCCTCTACTGTGAACAAAAAGCTGAGATTTAAGGAGAATGCGACACCTCAGCTAATTTTCAAAAGTTTTTTTACATTAAAATGGAAAGAAACCTCTAGTGTGAACAGAAATTCAAACATACATATTTTGTTCACTATATCGAAATGAAGTAAGTATTCAAGACATCATCTAGTGTGAACAGAAAACTGAGATTTAAGGAGAATGCGACACCTCAGCTAATTTTCAAAAGTTTTTTTTACATTAAAAAGGAAGGAATCCTCTAGAGTGAACAGAAATTCAAACATACATATTTTGTTCACTATATCGAAAATAAGTAAGTTTTCAAGACATCCTCTAGCGTGAACAGAAAGCTGAGATTTAAGGAGAATGGGACACCTCAGCTAATTTTCGAAAGTTTTTTTTACATTAAAACGGAAAGAATCCTCTAGTGTAAACAAAAATTCAAACATACATATTCTGTTCACTATATCGAAAATAAGTAAGTTTTCAAGACATCCTCTAGCGTGAACAGAATGCTGAGATTTAAGGAGAATGCGACACCTCAGCTAATTTTCGAAAGTTTTTTTTACATTAAAACGGAAAGAATCCTCTAGTGTAAACAAAAAATCAAACATACATATTCTGTTCACTATATCGAAAATAAGTAAGTTTTCAAGACATCCTCTAGCGTGAACAGAAAGCTGATATTTAAGGAGAATGCGATACCTAAGCTAATTTTCAAAAGTTTTTTTTACATTAAAACGGAAAAATCTTCTAGTGTGAACATAAATTAAACATACATAGTTTGTTCACTATATTAAAAATAAGTAAGTTTTCAAGACATCCTCTAGCGTGAACAGAAAGCTGAGATTTAAGGAGAATGCGACACCTCAGCTAATTTTCAAAAGTTTTTTTTACATTAAAACGGAAAGAATCCTCTAGTGTGAAAAGAAATTCAAACATACATATTTTGTTCACTACATGGAAAAGAAGTAAGTTTTCAAGACATCCTCTAGTGTGAACAGAAAGCTGAGATTTAAGGAGAATGCGACACCTCAGCTAATTTTCAAAAGTTTTTTTTACATTAAAATGGAAAGAATCCTGTAGTGTGAGCAGAAATTCAAACACACATATTTTGATCACTATATTGAAAAGAAGTAAGTTTTCAAGGCATCATCTAGTGTGAACAGAAAGCCGAGATTGAAGGAGAATGCGACACCTCAACTAATTTTCGAAAGTTTTTTTTACATTAAAACGGAAAGAATCCTCTAGTGTAAACAAAAATTCAAACATACATATTCTGTTCACTATATCGAAAATAAGTAAGTTTTCAAGACATCCTCTAGCGTGAACAGAAAGCTGAGATTTAAGGAGAATTTGACACCTCAGCTAATTTTCGAAAGTTTTTTTTACATTAAAACGGAAAGAATCCTCTAGTGTAAACAAAAATTCAAACATACATATTCTGTTCACTATATCGAAAATAAGTAAGTTTTCAAGACATCCTCTAGCGTGAACAGAAAGCTGAGATTTAAGGAGAATGCGACACCTCAGCTAATTTTCGAAAGTTTTTTTTACATTAAAATGGAAAGAATCCTGTAGTGTGAACAGAAATTCAAACATACATATTTTGTTCACTATATCGAAAAGAAGTAAGTTTTCAAGGCATCATCTAGTGTGAACAGAAAGCCGAGATTGAAGGAGAATGCGACACCTCAGCTAATTTTCGAAAGTTTTTTTTACATTAAAACGGAAAGAATCCTCTAGTGTAAACAAAAATTCAAACATACATATTCTGTTCACTATATCGAAAATAAGTAAGTTTTCAAGACATCCTCTAGCGTGAACAGAAAGCTGAGATTTAAGGAGAATGCGACACCTCAGCTAATTTTCAAAAGTTTTTTTTACATTAAAACGGAAAGAATCCTCTAGTGTGAACAGAAATTCAAACATACATATTTTGTTCACTATATCGAAAAGAAGTAAGTTTTCAAGGCATCATCTACTGTGAACTGAAAGCTGAGATTGAAGGAGAATGCGACACCTCAGCTAATTTTCGAAAGTTTTTTTTACATTAAAACGGAAAGAATCCTCTAGTGTGAACAGAAATTCAAACATACATATTTTGTTCACTATATCGAAAAGAAGTAAGTTTTCAAGACATCCTCTAGCGTGAACAGAAAGCTGAGATTTAAGGAGAATGCGACACCTCAGCTAATTTTCGAAAGTTTTTTTTACATTAAAACGGAAAGAATCCTCTAGTGTAAACAAAAATTCAAACATACATATTCTGTTCACTATATCGAAAATAAGTAAGTTTTCAAGACATCCTCTAGCGTGAACAGAAAGCTGAGATTTAAGGAGAATGCGACACCTCAGCTAATTTTCGAAAGTTTTTTTTACATTAAAACGGAAAGAATCCTCTAGTGTAAACAAAAATTCAAACATACATATTCTGTTCACTATATCGAAAATAAGTAAGTTTTCAAGACATTCTAGCGTGAACAGAAAGCTGATATTTAAGGAGAATGCGATACCTAAGCTAATTTTCAAAAGTTTTTTTTACATTAAAACGGAAAAATCTTCTAGTGTGAACATAAATTAAACATACATAGTTTGTTCACTATATTAAAAATAAGTAAGTTTTCAAGACATCCTCTAGCGTGAACAGAAAGCTGAGATTTAAGGAGAATGCGACACCTCAGCTAATTTTCAAAAGTTTTTTTTACATTAAAACGGAAAGAATCCTCTAGTGTGAAAAGAAATTCAAACATACATATTTTGTTCACTACATGGAAAAGAAGTAAGTTTTCAAGACATCCTCTAGTGTGAACAGAAAGCTGAGATTTAAGGAGAATGCGACACCTCAGCTAATTTTCAAAAGTTTTTTTTACATTAAAATGGAAAGAATCCTGTAGTGTGAACAGAAATTCAAACATACATATTTTGTTCACTATATCGAAAAGAAGTAAGTTTTCAAGGCATCATCTAGTGTGAACAGAAAGCCGAGATTGA